ACTTAATTTCATTTTTACAAAATTAAGTTAATTTGAAAAAAAAAATAACTTAATATTAGAGTACACAATTTAATACACAATATGTTTATTAACAATTCTTTTTTTTTTTTGTTATTTACAATATAAAAATTTAATAAAATTCAATGTATTTAATCACTTAAAATTTTCGCCCCGAAATCGCATTTGCGCTCGTCACTTCTGTCACAAATGCAAACACTCACACAAAAAATTTCATGTTATCGATAACAATCTACTCATACGTTGTTTTTGTCATCGCTAATGTGGAAAATATAGAAAAACATTTTATAATTGTTTTATGTTCGATATTGATTTATAAAAAATTTGAATACTGTATATTATTGAAACAAAGTTGTGGTACGTATATAATATGTTGTACCAGTTGATAATTTAACATTGGTCGGCATTTTTTTGTTTGTGAAATAAATCGATGGAGTTAATGTTTTACCTGAAAAAGTTGTATGTAGGTGTGATTATATTAAATGTCTGTTTTGAAGTTATACACTTTTATAACATTGTGAATTTTGGTAATATAATTTTAAATGTGATAGTAATGTTTTATGATCATAAAAATATTAGTATAATTGTTATTACAAAAGCAAATAAAATGTGCAGCTTTGAATTTTTTTGTATACATACAAAATTGTTTATTTCATTTTGGGATTAAACACCATTATTTTACTATTAAACACAGAAATCTTAAAACATCCATACATTTAAAAACGAGAAAATTGAATGCAATTTAAAAGAAATTAGTTTATTATTGCTTTTGATTTGATTTCTTTGTGTGTAATTTATTTAAGTTTATTTAGTAACAGAATTATTTTTAAATTGCAGGTTGTTGATGCTCATATAAATATTCCGGCTTAAGAATGATAGGCATGAACCGCAGAGGTATGAATTCAGCGTCAGCAATGGCTGCCCAAGCAGCATTAGATGACAATAGCTGGAAAGGCGTCAATGAAGGTGCGCCTCATTTATCCAATGCAAATAATGCAAATGCTATTAATCCAGATGGAGTAAGTCAAAGTGGATTTCCTCAAAATTCTATTCCATTCAATTCGTCTGGTACGCAGTATTCGCAAGCCGGTCAATCATCACCCGCTGGTAATCAATCAATGGTGTTCCAAAACTCGAATCAACCTGGTTCAAATACACCACAATATACTTCATCTCCTGCTCCCTCAGGTTCTTCAACGCCTGGTCCTGTCGGTCAACAAGGTTTAGGCAATAATTATGTGCAATCCGCAGGATCTGCTAATTTTAATGGTCCAGTTGGTGGTCCATTCGGATCTCCTTCTTCTGGTTTGTCACAATTTAATCGACCAGCAAGTTCTGGCACTCCTTTTAATAGTGGTCATTCTGGTCACTATCCTTCACAATCTGTATTTGGAGTTGGACAGTTTAACGCGTTGCCACCTACTGCACCTTTCGGGCACGGTACGCATCCTATGATGGGTGCATCTCAACAACTTGATCGTCTCGACCAAGGGTTTAGACGACATAATACATATTTCAGTCACACTGAACACCGTGTTTTTGAACTTAATAAACGTCTACAACAACGTACCGAAGAAAGTGATAACTGTTGGTGGGATTCTTTCACAACAGAATTTTTTGAAGACGATGCTAGATTAACAATTTTATTTTGTTTAGAAGATGGTCCAAAACGATATACAATTGGACGTACTTTAATACCAAGATTTTTCCGTAGCATATATGAAGGTGGCGTTTCTGATTTATATTTTCAACTTAAACATGCTAAGGAATCTTTTCACAATACTTCGATAACATTGGACTGTGATCAATGCACAGTTATTACACAACATGGGAAACCATTTTTTACGAAAGTATGTGCTGACGCAAGACTTATATTAGAATTCATATATGATGACTATATGCGTATTAAATCTTGGCATATGACAATCAAAGGACACAGAGAGCTTATTCCTCGGTCGGTAATAGGTTCGTCACTTCCACCTGATCCAATGCTACTTGATCAAATTACAAAAAATATTACGCGTGCTGGAATAACAAACTCAACACTTAATTATTTACGGTTATGTGTTATATTAGAGCCAATGCAAGAACTTATGTCGCGGCACAAAGCATATGCTTTAAGTCCACGTGACTGTTTAAAAACTACACTTTTTCAAAAATGGCAAAGAATGGTTGCACCACCTGGTAAAAAAGATCCACAACGACCAGCAAATAAGAGACGTAAAAGAAAAGGATCAAATTCAGGAGGAGGGGCAAATCCTGGTGCCCAAAATGTAACTAATCAAAAAAGATCACCGTCTGGACCAAATTTCTCACTTTCTTCTCAAGATGTTATGGTAGTAGGCGAACCTACATTAATGGGTGGTGAATTTGGTGAAGAGGATGAAAGATTAATAACCAGACTTGAAAACACTCAATATGATGGGTCTAATGCAGTTGAACACGATAATCATCCAGGATTTGGACATGCGGATTCTCCAATTTCAGGGTCAAATCCTTGGAATCTTGATAGAACAGGGAATATAGCATCCAGTCCGGGTAATGGAGTAGTTCCGCAAAATAATGCCAACCTCTCTGAAATAGACAAAAAAAGTCCAATCGTGTCACAATAAAGTAATTTATATCTTTTAAGCATATGTAAAATATATTAATAAAGCTCTGTCACAGAATTTTGACAAAATTTCGTTTGTTTTGTTTTAGTAGTATATACAGGATATAGGTAATCTATATCCATCAAATTTCTTAAAAATAGAATCTGCTTTCTTATACATATTGTTATAGAGAATTGATATATAAATATATGTGGTTTACAAGTACACTTCATTAAATCTACCTAAGTTTTAGATAAGCTATTTTATAAATATCTGCTATAAAATATTTAATGTAAAAAGATTTTTGAACTTTTCAGAAACAAGTATTAATTTCAAATTATGTTTTTGCACTATTAAAACTTCGGTTATGCAAAACTCAAAACATTAGTATTTAGTAATAAAGTTCATAAATTCGTAAAATTTTCTATCGTGACTTTTTTAATGCAACTGTACGTATGATTTTATATATAATATTAAACAAAGTATATAAGTGCTATATTAGTTACAATTATAATCATTATAAAAACATGATGTGAATTATACAGCATACATATAGCATTCGGTTACTGCCGTAATTCTACTTCGACGAAGGACTAAAACGAATCAATATGAGAATTATACTGCACACAATGAATATACAGTTTTTTTCTGTTAGTGCTGTTTTGTGCCACTTTATATATTTTCTGTTGGTACTGTTCTGTACCACCTTTTATTTTCTGTTAGTGCTGTTTTGTACCCTTAATTTTCTGTTTGCGCTGTTTGTGCTGTTTTTTTTATTTATTATTTTCTGCTGGTGTTATTTTGTGCTGCATTTTTTATTTTTTTTTGTATTATTAATTTTATCAACTCTGCTTTTGTATTTTTTGTTTTCGTTAGTTTTGACTTAAAATGTAGGAAGAGGTCCCTAACCTCCTCTTTAGCGAGTTCAGTCTCGATGAAGGGGCTGAACAACACTATGCTCTCCTCAAGCAGATGCAAATCCCGACCTTTGCGTCCATCCCCCAAAAGGGACTACTCCAGTTCTTTTGAAGAGTTTCCCCTTTCCTTATTATGAAGAGGACTTTAAAACCGCTCTCGCGGTGACTTTGCGCAAATTTTCTTTACTAATATTACCAAATCCTCCCTGTCAAACGCAACCCATGCAAGTATTGATACCTCCTCCCTCTGAGAGCTGCACTCAGTTCCTGGCACTGATATCGTATCGTTGCTCATATTCCCTAATAGGCCCCCAACCAACTTTCTCTCACTCGGCGTTTCTTTGAATATGCCTTAATATGACTAGACTGTGTAACGGTCTATTAAGTGCCAACTTATCTTAGCTGGTTGCTAAGATGCGGCTAGCTAGACTCCCTGCAAAGTTACACTGACCCCAACCCCCTTCACCAAGACACCACTAATATGGTCCACGTTTTCTGACTTAGATGAATTTAGTTTCGCTTAAAGCCTCTCTGTTCTCTCTCTGCCGTTGATTACTAGAATAGGATTGCATCCGCTATTCGCGGCATCCATTTTCATTCCTAAGGGGTGGTTTTAGTGAGTTCAAGTCCCACACTGTGGCTTGCGATGCTTTCCACCTATTGCAAAAAAAAATAGCATTCCGTTTATATGTCAGTTCCGTTCCTATGAAAGCTAATTTAAAACAAACCAATATTGACATTACGATGACTATATATATTTGATTTATGTATATAAATCTTGAAATTTATTTAATTTCTAATTTGTGTGTTATAATTGAATAAAGTTGAATGTTTTTATTAAAAATTTATAAAAAAAAGTATTTCTTGATTTACATATTTAAATCATTATGTGTATGATACAATGATATAATCTAGTACTAAACTGTTTGTAAGTAGGATTTTATGGTGATATGAGCGTAAAAGTAGATTATTAATGTTCTATTTAGTTAAAAGCTAGCAAAATTAAAAATGTTTTTGCTTGCAATTCATTAATTTATTAAGTTATATAAAATTAATTATAAATAATAATATATATTTTTTATGTATATGAAATATCTACAAATGTATATAATTACAATAATTTAAATGAGTTGTATAAATTAAAAATAAAATAAAATTATATGTAATAGAGATGTATGACTTAATTAAATTTTAAATTAATTTAAATCTAAAAAATTTAATAAATTTCGCTAAAGATTTTGCAACTTTCTTTTTATATAAAAGAAGATGATTTATTCTGTATCAGCACTTTTTTAATCAAGCACAAGAAAAAGATTATAAAAATTTTATGTATATATGTATACAAATATAATAATAATAATATTTCTATAACATTTATTTTTCATTTCGTTTTATTTTTGTTTGTGATGTGATGCAAAATGTATCGATTAACATTTTAGAACAAAAAGTCTGGCAATACTAATAATTAATTGTACCACCCTGCGCTTAATATGCCACTAATATTTGGACTGAATTATTATTACTAATAAAATATAAAAATATTTAATAAAATGAGTGGAGTCCATAGAGAAGCCATACAAAAGCAAATACATCAAGACTGGGCAAATCGGGAATATATTGAAGTGATCACAGCCAGTATCAAAAGGATAACAGATTTTCTTAATTCCTTTGGTATGTAAAACACCGAAGATATTTACAAATTGTGTCAGTATTAAAGAAATATTGATATTAATATAATAATTAATATATATTTATTTAGTTTGAGTTAGGTAAATATTTATTTTACAATTGATTTATTACATATAAGGGTTAATATTTCTAGAAATGTTATTAAACTAAAATTGCGAAAAAATTTATTTAGTTTAACTGATTTAGTAAATTAATTTATTGTTTTTGTTGTTTCTCGTTGGACAATTTCATCAAGTGAAAGGTGTAACTCCAACGGAAGTGGTGGTGACTGAAAACCGTTGCAGTTATAGTTGTGGAAGAGTTTATGACGCGAAATCTCTTGTTCAGACGACCAACAGTTATTCGTCGCTCCTAAAACGAGCTAAAAAAATTAACTGTAGTTGACCAGTTCTTCTTGCACTTGAACCAATTTTGTGTAGAATCCAGAAGATTGTTATTTATGACGATCAAGTAGCATTCGCGATTAGTAGCATTATTATACTTGAAAGAAACACTTAAGAAAACAACAGTTTTTAATTTATTGATGTTATGGTTGCATCAATTAAATTGGATTTTAAATATTATTTTTTTGTACATTAATTTTATAGTATTTCTTTTTAATTTTTCATAAATAATAATGTTATAAATTTAGTTGTTGTTTTTTTCTGTAATGTGATGGTATATGGGTTTTACTTCTTTAATTAAATCAAAATAAAATATTCTTTTAAACTGTTGAAAAAAGGAAATTATATCTCATATTAGTTAGGTAAAACCCTTTTATACGCTTTTAGATATATTGTTAATTGTCACTGCCAATGACAAAAAGAGGTACAACGCACTTGTTATCACCTCAGTGCTACGATGATATGAATTTTTCTTACAATTGCGATATACAATATAGAAACCTGTTAAAAACTTTCTAAATGAAAAATGAATTTTAAAAAATAGTTAATATTATTGTTCATATATATATATATTTATATATTCATAGAATGTAAATTTTTTTTATATCGCAAAGCATTTTGAAACAACACACTATATCTACAACTTAATTTGTATTTTTCAGATATGTCGTGCAGGTCCCGTTTGGCAGTTTTGAATGAAAAATTAACAATTTTAGAACGACGTATTGATTATTTGGAGGCTTGTGTTACGCAAGGTGAAACGCTGACATAAACATATTTTCTGTTCTCTAAATAAATATAATTGCTTTTTAAAACACTGACTGTTTTAATGCATATATATATATATATATACTATTTCATATTCGGAACTGTTTTATTTACTACTTTTATTTGAACTAAATAGATTAAATTATATATGTATTATATCAATAAATATTGTTTTTGATAAAAACACTAATGTAGCATAACACAATTTTAAATTTTTGCAAAACTGACTTTGTATTTGCAATACAAAAAAATGCCAAATATGCATATTGATCGTATTGAAATAAAAATTTACGTATTTTTAGTAAATATAAATTATTAGTTTATTTCTTATAATACAATAAATTTGGTGTTACCCAATTTAAAGTAATTGAAACATTTTCTTGACATTATTTTGTATGTCACAATTATTACTAATATAAACAATATAGAAAACAATAATAAATGTAAACACATGGATATTGATTTAATAGCTCAAATGCTGCACAAATATTAAAAGTATGTATATTTTATTGTGAAAAATTTATTTTTGTTGATTTTAAGTATTGTATGGTCATAGTACTGCTTGTAGGAATGAACCTAAATACAAGCAAACAATTTACTTGTTTTGAATTCTGGGACATTGGAGGTGTAGAAGGAAACGTAAAATGTGATGAAAAAACGTATAGGGTGATGACAAAGACGTATAAAAACTATCACAACCCTCCCTGCAACATAAAAAGGAAGTCACTAAATCTCAATACTTCTTCTATTAATAAAACACTTTACAATAGTAATTTCCGCACCATTATATATTAATAGCATATGATGAAAAGATATACTTGTCGGAAACCGTTAATTGCAAACAAAGCTACATACCCAAAACTAAAGAAACTTTAATGTGATATATGCATTTTTGGTCTGCCATGTACTATCTGTCATCAATCAAACTCAATTTTATCTTTTAATTTTTACTTAATCAATTTTTTTATTGCTTTACTTTAATTAAAAGAAATGCTTATTATTAATATATTTAATTTTATTTCTGATTTAAAGCTATAATACTAAGTTTTTGATTGTTTAGATGAAAGCTTTTCAAATCAAAAATTAAAGCGGATATAGTATTTATTTATGTATTAAAATTTTATGTTTTAAAAGACATTGAATTTTTTTTTTTTGTTATTATATACTTAAAAATTCTTTAAATGACAATTTTATGTTGACTAGTTCGTCGTGTATGTCGTTTTTTATATATGTATATCTTTACGTTACAAAGCGTGCTTTAAATTTTCGAATCGTTCTTAATAATCCTATTAAAATATAAGTAATATAGGAAGATTTATTCTAGCTTAAGCATCTAATCAGCATTTTGATATTTTTTAAGAAGCATTGTCCAAACATCAGGATATCTAGTTTGCAAAAATGTTGTAAGTTTTTGAGCGTTTTCGGCTTGTTGAGGCGAGCAATTACGGCATTTTCGTACAATCACTTCTGGAAGTGCAGCTAAAAATATTAAAAATAAAACATTATTTATAACTGTTAAATATAAAATATTTGAAACTACAATCTAAAGTACAAAATAATTCAAATTCAAATGTAATATATAAAGCATATGTCAGCCTTCCAAAACTAGATAATATTGAGTTGAAGCTAACTCAAGTGAAACATCTGGAACTTAATGTAGATCCTAAACTAATTCAAGAAATCAATATAAATAAAGGGTATGGAGGATATTCTGCAGCTTTCGGCAGTTGTTAGAAATCCATAGGTTGGAAATGTGTTTAAAATCATTTAGTAATTCTGTGGATTTATTCGGCAGTAGGGGAAGCAATGTTTCTGTTCTACTGCCTACTGTAGTGGGTCGTCTTGTTTGAAATAGTTAATAAAAATTCCTAGACAAGGCTACAAGAATTATTACTCTTTCGATAAGTTCAATCAGAACATTTGTTGTTCTCCACTGGCTGTTAAGTGACCTTCGGACTCGACAGCAAACCTAAAATAATACGAATAGGCTTCACACTAATAGCTTATGATCCAAAGTAGGCACAGGACACTTGACTCCAACTGTCATTCCTAATATTTGCTAGGGTGCAACACCTTCACCACTTGATCGTAAGTTCTTTACTTGTATCCCTACAAGACGAGACTAGGTTAAAAATAAGGTGATCTCATAAGTGACTCAAAACTTGAATACAAACTTGGTGTTAATATATTCTATAAGGAACTCAATTCAATCACTGTAGTGACATTCTTTAAATAATTTCGCAAAGAAATTTTATCTATTATATTTAAATTTTTTTATTTTAACAATTAATAATACCAGATACATTCATGAGTTACTTATCTTTGACGTCTTGTGTGTAAGTGGTGAACTAAAGCATTGATTTGCAAATAATAAAATGCAAATTAAGAGTAAGAAGATTTAAAAATAATTGTGGATAAATTCTAAAAAAGACAGTAGTTGTTAGTGTATATTTAAAAATTGACGAATATAAACATTATTATTGGTGTTATAATGGTTTCTGATATATGAAACGCTATTTTTAATGTTGTAGCTGAACAAATTTCGTAAAAAGTCTGTTATATAGACCGGAATCCATTTTGGCTTCCAAGTATGAAGAACTCTAAACACGCATCTGTAATGTTTGTCTTATAGAAACAAAGTAACACAATCTTAATTTTTTCAAGGTTGCAGATACTTTTTAGGTCATATGAAACTGTTTTGTGAATTTTAAATTAATTGTAAATATTGCACTTGTTAAAGTACTTTGGTTTATGATTTTATTTCAACTCTACATTCATATTATTTTAAAGAAAAGCTTATATAAAGATTAAGGCATTTATTTATTTAGGTATGTTGATATTTTTGATTTATTTGAACTTACCTTTTAACTGTCTGCCGAGCTGGTCACACGGACTTTTTTCTAGCACACACATTATTTGTCGACTAACAATTGCTTGATTATTTAATAATTTGTTAATATTTTTCTCATCAGCATCTGTAGTTATTGCAAACAATATAACAAGAAAAAGCGATGTGGTTAATGTTTTATAAAAAGTTTGACGATTTAAAGTAAACATATTACTATTTAAGTAAAATGTATTCGTATTTGAATATCTAAAGAAATTCTCAATTTCACTATATAAGGATATAAATACGGAATGCTGGATGTCGCTATGAATAATAACCTTTTCCTTTATTGTCACCGTATTTTTCTACATGAGAAAAGCATGCGCAATTATTTGGATAAATAAACGTATATATAGATACACATTATCATCAGATTACTTCAATCATATCTAGTATATATGTATATATGTGCTATGACATTTAAATATTCATGTTTTTTAAGGTTCCTTCTTAGGCTTTGCTTCTATCCTTGCAAAGCTTTACATTTTTTTCAAACATTACTATAAAATAGAAAATTTATATATATTTTTTGACAGGTCGTTGTAAAATAAAGTTTAACGTTGAGTCAATATTTTATTAATATTGTAATATAATCAATATTATGTTAATATCAATTAATATAATTCTTTCTTCGAAAAATATACAAAAATTGTTAGTTAATTAAGGCAGCATTTGCGTACTAATTTAGTAACCAGAATAATTTGTTACAATAAATATTTAACCAGTAAATAGTTTTAAATTTTTGTTCATAGAATGCTGTTATTCTATTCTATATCCTTCGCTTAAACAATTAGCTATGCTTCATTCTATTGTACCATATCCTTGTACCTACGTGATATGAACATTTTTTCTTAATTTACACAATTATAACTGCTTTTTATCAATATCTAATATTGTTAATCTTGCTGGCTGTAAATCTATTGGTCTCTAATGATACCAGACTTTGTAAAAAATACTTTGTAAAGAACTCTCATAGCTCCGTTACTGAGATATACTCTATCTCCCCAAGCAATCAGAAGCATTTAAAGAAACAAACATAAGAGATGTTCGGAATTCTTCTTTTTTCAGTTGTCTGCGTTCGTCACTATTGGTAATATCTCTCTTGTATATATTTGCAACGAACAGATTGCATACCTATTATAGCTTAGCAATTTTTCAGTGATAGTACTAGTAAAAATCGAGTTTAGATTTCTCAATTTTGAAACAGGTTACACTGTTCTCATCATTACTTGTTATTCCATATATTCGTCAACAAAGTTGTCGATTTTTAAAAATTTTTTGTATGTCGTTTTTTTTTATTCAAAAGACAACCTAACAGAAATTTTCGTAATCTCATCTACTATTTCGTTTTTATCAAGAACTTTATAGCCTGGATATGTCCATCTAGTTGCGGTTAATCCTTTCTTAGTGTCCCGATTTTTTTAGTTTAGTAACAATATCATGCCCATAAAGCGTAACAGTTCTAAAGATGCGAGTACTATCAGTTTCGTTGCTTTCATGAGAATTTCTTTTTCCAATTTCTACAAAATATATAGGTATAATAAGATATCATCATCTATGTTTCCCCCAATGTAGCAGATTTATTTTGACAATTGTTAAGATTATAAACATAAGTATTATATTATTAAAATAACTGGAGGGTTCTAAAACCAATAAGTTCTAATAATTTGTTAGTAATACTATTACAATTGATTCCGGGATCGCCATGTGATGTTACAATATTAGCAACATTACTGCGTAATTATCTGTTTGGATATCATTAAATTAAGTTATAAAAATTATAATGTATTAACGACACATATAATGATCATTTAAATAAAGATTTATATGTGCTTTAATTCTATTAAAACGTTTAATTTTAGCACTCGTCGAACTAAGCCTATATGTAAGTATCTGACATTATTAATATTTGCAGTAATACAAAAAAAAAATGCAATTTCATTGCTCTATTCTTAAAAACTCTAGATTATATAATGTATGAATGCTGTCGATAGATAGCGTACTTCAATATGTCACTAGAAAGTTGGCAAACTTCATTAAGAAATCAATTTGAAGATAAAATGACGTCCTACTGTAAACTATATCATAGTTGGCAAGTAAATGGCATAAGTGTAACAGTCATAAAACATAACTGAACTTAAGATTATCTAAATATACCTAAAGTTTTAAATACCTAATTTATTGAATTTTAATTTAAATATGGGATGTTTTGTTTTGATGCTTAATGTAACTTAATTAAGTTACCTAAATGTAAATTCTGCCCTACTCATGCGAATCAATTTTTTTTGCTAAACTCTAGCCAAATACACGTAAATGTATGTTACATCTTCGTTTTTGATTAATTATTTCAATTTTTTGTCGGTATTATTCTGAGCATTACTGCAGTTTTAATATTTTTATATTCAATTTTACTTCTTAGATATATGGATTTAAAAATGTTATATTAAGTCTTTGCATGTATATCTCTTTAGATAGTTGTATTACACGTATTCTATATTTTCCAAATGAAAAATGTGTTATTAGGATACAATAAACTTAAATTGACAATTCTCTTCAAAATTTATCTAAGGTTAATATGAAGAACGCATGAGAGAAAGACAATCTTGTCCAACAACTGTATTCACCTCATACTTATCTAATAGAACGAAACTGTTATTTTCAACACTTAGAACTTTTTACATACAGACTTTATTATAAGTATTTAGTATGTTTAAAGACAAAACCTTCCAATTGTCGATTCATAATTTTCTGCTGAATAAATCGTTAAACAGTTATAATAATTCATTTAAAAATCAAATTATTTTATTTATTTCTTTTCCTTCATGACTTTATTTTAAAAACACGTACGATACTTATGAATAAACATTAACGAAGATTAAATCACATTGCTATTTACAAAATTTTGATTACTTAGATTAAAATTAAATTATTATTATGTTTATTATTCTTAAAATCCACTTAACACAAAACATATATGAAACATAATTGTAATAAAATGAATACGTTTACTTAAAGTTTTATTAGATGTAGGACGGAAAAGGTTCTGAAAAGAAATGAATTAGCGTAGGAATAATGTCTCTGGCTTAGTAATCAATTATATGTAGTGTCTTTGTTTTTGTAATATTGTAAAATTCTTACAGAATGTATATTTATTTGTGTTCCAATGCATTGGACAATTGTTCGATTGTTTTATTAACACTGCTTTCCGTAGTCACTTCCTTTAAATCATTTAGAATTGTAGTATTTGTAGAAGGTTCATAAGTAATTGGTTTCGTTATATTCGTATATTTCTCCAACACAAGCTTAAGAATATTCGTCACATTAGACTAGATAATTTAATGTTTGAATTTTTAGTTATATAAATAAAAAATATAAATTTAATTATTTACTTTAAGCTCCGCAAAATTCATTTTTAAAGTTTCTTGTTGCTCAGCCAAAGTTTTATAATGGGTTCTAATACCCTCAAGATCAGTAGCAATTGCCTCTATTCTTGCACCGAAGTTAGCAACAATTTTTTCGTCGTTGATATAGTGCGATTTATTTTCCAGATTAGTGCAGTTATTTTGTAAGGACTCTAACAAGCGCTTAAAATCTTCTATCCTTTTAAATATTACAGTTTGGTTCTTGAGCAGTAATGTCGATGTTTCATGCCACTGCTGCATCGTTTCTGGTAGATTTTGGCTTGTAGTATAGGCTTAAATAAAAGACAAAATTTATTTAAATGATTCACTTATTCTTAATAAACTCAGACCTTCCTCGATTTTCTGTCTGTTATCGTAAATTTGTTGCCGTAAGTCAAAATAATACCAATACATAAACACGAATAACAAAGCAAATGACGTCATAAATATTAGAGGTCCACAAACGCGGAAAAATATATACTTTCTGCCTCTCCGGGTACTGCTGTGATAAACCTTGGGCTAATAAAGTTTTATATAAATAAATTTATTATTGAATTTTTAAACAGTTTAGTTAATGATTCTATATACCAATGTATAATCATCTGGATCATCAGTTGAAGCTGACATAAGTTTGTCTTGCAAGAAAAGTCCTTCATTAGATCGTCGAGACAAGTTTCGTTTAGCTAAGGAATGTGCAATAAGAGCATCTAATTCTCGACGTTTTCGCATCTTTTTGCCTCCTGGCCGATACGGGACATTTATTTGTGTTCTTGCTTCCATTTTCCTTTAACTACCGCAAGAAAATATTTTATATATTTTTGTTTTTTTTATAATTCAAAATATTTTGTTTATTTTCATTATCTCACAAAAATTTTTCATTATTTTGATATATAACTCTTACTATCGAACCTTATCCCACAGATTGCAAACATATTTATCGATTCTTTTTATATTACATATGTAGCAAGTAACGGTATGTGTGTACGTAAATATCTATACCAATATCTGGAAGATTCATGCGCAATACGAAATGTCCAATTTTCATATAAAAAATGTTACAAAATATTTTAAAAACAATTTCAACACATATTTCATATTTCACGTTGCTCAATGTTAAACCTTGAAAAAAAATATTGATTTGAAATATTTTAATAATTTAACAATTTTGAAATAAAATACGTTGATATCATTTATCAGCTGTTTTTGATTTACACGTTATTATTTTTAAAAAGACATTCTTATGTACACATTACATTTAGGTAGTTTCACACTTCAAAAAAATAATACTGTCATAATATCGTTATTATAAAGTATGCATACCTACTAGATTATTTGTATACTTACTTAAAAAGATATTCGACACGAAAAATGAATTAATATTTTAAAGTTAAAACACAAAAATAAGTGATTACTACTTCTTCTGAAACTTTATATTAAGTTATGTTAGACTATAGTGGTAATGGCTAAAAGTTAATAAAATTAACACAAACCAGTACTGGTGGGGTCTTTTCTCTTTTTCAAAATTTAGCCAAAAAAAAATCAATGAGGATTGTTACAGGTTCTGGTGTAAATTGAGTTTTAAATTATTGTAAGTCTATGATTTTTTACGTGAATCATTGTTGTACTCAAAGCATCTATTATATAATATCAATCTAATATTTATAATCAATTAAAAAAACAAGTATAATGCTAAAATAAAGGTAATAACTCAATTCAGACCAAAAATCTACATGTAACGACTATATTATACTGAATAAAATCTTATCAAACTGATTTATTTTTTTAAATAAGAATATAAACATTAAATGATCTCATTTTATTACAATTCGCAACGGTTATCTGCGCAACTCTTCTCGCAAT